ACACACACACACACACACACACACGCCATCTCCAGCCGGTGAGATCGTCGTTTAACTCCCACTGAATGAAACGCTTAATTTTACAAGTATCTCTCTTGCATTTGACCCCGGCAGATCCAGTCTGAAAGAGAACGGCACGCACTTCAACTAGAGCGACAGCTGACTTCAGAACTCAGACAGGAGCTGAGGGCGAATGGAGAGTTCAGTCAACGCCAACGGGAGCAGTGCAAGACGCAAGGTCGAGGACATGGCAGAGCCAATGGTTCAGTCGAAGCAGAACTTCGAGCTCCAGTCAAAGAACTGATGACGAACGAGATGCTTGACAATTTCAAACAAAAATTGGATCAACACGGCAACGATGTAAAAACGCAGAGAAAGGAACAGAAGTGTAATACTAACAGAATGCCGTCAAAATTCAAATCTGAAAACCACAGGGTGGGTGACGGAGACTCGGATGAAAATTGCACCTGGGAAAGGAAATCTCCCAAGTCAGAGAGTTGGGCGAGAAAAAAATTAAATGATGACGCCATGAAATCTCAAAGAGAAGACGGTGGAGGAAGAGTTTCTGCTACTCGCGGCGAGACGCTTGCGACGAAAGCTATGTGTGACGTCATCAACGAGAACTGCTACCAGATCCACCAGGCGGTGTGTGGCCAACAGCACATACTGCTGATGACGTGTTGTTTGGTCGTCGGCCTCGTCTTCGCTCACATCTTCAACGTGTGCGGGGCCTTTGGCTGGACGGCTGTGCTGCAACACACGAAATGACAAGTTAACTCACTGAAGACGTGCATTCTGCATGGTTACTTTAAAATACGAGGCATAACTTCCATATTATTCATAGAGAAATTTCAGTTCTCTTTCCTTTATCTGAAACTTTAAAAGGCAGGCAACGACATGCATGCTATCAAAAATTCAAACTCGTGTTTTTGATTTGTGTATAAAGGTTGTAAATGTGCGACAATGTTAGTCTTTGCTCTGCAGCTGATCAGACGTATGTGTCAGCTACGTCAACAAAGAGTTTAAATGTAATGCTCTGACTGTTGCAATTACTCCAAAAACCTTGTGCGAATGTATGTGTGTGTGTGTGTGTGTGTGTGTGTGTGTGTGTGTGTGTGTGTGTGTGTGTGCGCGTGTTTGTGATATAGATCTAGTTGGGCGGGGAGGGGGTGTGTTGGTTTTAGCTTACTTCATAAAACAGTCAAAATGTAACAATATAAACTCATATAATGTAAACATAGAAATCGCAAATGTAAAGCAAATAAAATTCAAATGTCATTTCGGAATTCCTATTGCGAATGAGACTAGAACTAATTTGATGATGGTTTGCATTGCAAAACACTGTGTCATATTATAATTTAGAGGTTTTAATTGGTCTGAAGGTTCCTGACATCTTTGTTCTAGTCATGTCTTTGATTTCTTGTTTCGTCAACTGGAAAAGGGTACCGTTCCTTCTTTGATGAGTCTGCTGAGTACGCATTTCGGTTTTTTTACTTCACCGAGCCTTTGTTTCAAAATGTGTTTCCAAACTGAGAAACCATTCTCAGAGATGCTGGCATCTTCATTCTAGTCATGGCTTTGGTTTCTTGTTCTGTCAACTGGGTAAGTGTTACCATCCTTTGTTGATGTGGGGCTCTCGTGATCTTGAGGTACGGGTTTCGCCTCTCATTCAATAGGTCCCGGGTTCGAAACCTGACAGCGACAGAAAATGTTCTTCCTATAACACAGTTCTCCGTTCACCTCCTTTCCTGTTCGCTAATCTTGTTCTGTCGTCTGTTTTCGTCTCCACATTCTGCTCCTCGCCTCTTTCTCCTTTCACCCCCCTCCTCTGGGCTCATGACTCTTTCTGCTGCCTTTCTACTGCTACTCTTCGGCTCATTCTTACTGCTGTCTTTCAACCACACCCCTGATTTTAGGGTAGGTAAGATCTAACACCTAACCTTCTCAGACAAGGGCGAACATATCTCGGAGTTCATGTTGTCCTAAAGTCGATAAAAGTAGGCTTCGGCCGCCACTACGGCAAATTTCAAAATTAGATCTAACTCCTACCAAACTGAAAATGTTTATTGTGTCCTGTGCGCTCATATATGACCTTATGCAGTTGCTAGCGCCGAAAAACACTTACAAAAAGAAATATCCTTCGATAATGATTCTGCTGAGTGTGCATTTCGTCTGTTACTTCAGCGAACCCCTTTGTGCATAGGTTAATCCCAGCCTCATCAATGAATACAAGTTCCGAGCAATACTGCTGAATGTTCTGTCTCAGAAATCAGATGTCTTGTCGCTTTGGTCTTATTAGAATTCCTCTCTGTAGGAGCATCATCAAGTTTCTTCAAGGTGATTAAGGGAGTGAC